ACAAGAAACAAACAAAAAAAACTTACTAGTTATTAATCTTCTAGGTGATATGTGGCCATTTTCACGTTTAACTGTACACCAAAGAGAAACAACTACATTTAGAACTGAATGAATGGCTCAAAGATAATTCTGGGGCTACATAACACAACCACAGTCCATTGGTCAAGAGCTAAGAAGGTCAAGTACTAAATATGATTTTGACTCTAGCCAACTTCAAACTCAGTGAAATCTCAAATCTCTCCCACAGCTGGTTTAGATCCCAAATAACCACAATAGCTTCCCTTCATAGCTCTTAACTGACAGGTCAGGAAGCCTATTCTGGTAGAAAAGGCTAAGTGCAAGACTTTGAAGTACCCCATCAATGATTCTCTACTCCAAATTTGTAAATTAAAAGCATTATCACAGCTCTCAAAGAATCACAAAGCTTAATGTCCCCATTTAAACATGATACCAAGAGTGATGATCCTATATATTCCATTCTATAATTTGACCATTGCAAAAGTCTGACAGCCCTTGGAAAATGACAATGGGTTACAATCAAATAGCAATTCCAAATGCATCTGCTGTTTCTGATTTAGTCTCTTTCCTGAAAGAAACAAATATAGACCCTGGCTGATGTAGTTCAGTGGATTGAGCGTGGGCCTGAGAACCAAAGGATCAGGGTTTGATTCACAGTCAGGGCACATGTCTCGGTTGCAGGCCAGTTCCCAGCAAGGAATGCACGAGAGGCAATCATACATTGATACTTCTCTCCCTGTCTTCTTCCCTTCACCTCTAAAGATAAATAAATTAAAATCTTTAAAAAAAAAAAAAAAAGACTCTTTGACATGTCTTGTAATACTGGTTTGGTGGTGATGAATTCCATTAAAAAAAAAGAAACAATTATAGGTTTGCCTATCTGGTGTGCATTCAGAGCAGGGGCCTGATGAAACTGCTATCTAGGTTCATGGAGGAATCCAGGTTTCTGTTTCTTTAGGTTTTCTTTTTTGCATAATAATAACTGAATTTTTTCTTGAATCAACATAGCGGAAACTGACAACAAGATATGCCATCACCCCCAATTACATTATAGTATCTATTTCCTACAAACAAGGGAGGTTCTACATAACTAGAATCAACCATCAAAAGCAGGAAATTAGCACTGATACCATACTACCATCTAATCCATAGACTCCATTAAAATTTCATCAATTATCCTAATAATATGCTTTATAATAAAGGGATAAAATTCAGGATCCTATAATAAAGGGATAAAATTCAGGATCCTTTGTTATAATAAATATTTTATTTTAAATAAAATAAATATTGTATAAATAAAATAAATATTTTTTATTTTAGGAATAGAGAAATATCGATTTGTATAGACATTTCCCCAAAGAGGACATACAGATGGCCAACAGATATGAAAAGATGCTCAACTTTGCTAATCATCAGAGAAATGCAAATTAAAACCACAATGAAATACCATCTCACACCTATCAGAAAGGCTATCATGAATAAATCAACAAACAAGGGCTGGCAAGGATGTGGAGAAAGAGGAATCCTTGTCCACTGTTGGTGGGACTGCAGACTGGTGTAGCCCCTATAAAAAAAAGTATGGAGTTTCCTCAAAAAAATTAATATGAAATTGTCTTATGACCTGGAATCGAAACCCAAAACACTTATTCATAAGAATATATGCACCCCCTTGTTTACTGCAGCATTATTACAATAGACAAGATATGGAAAAAATTCAAGTGCCTATCAGTAGACAAGTGCATAAAAAAGCTGGGGTGCATATATACAATAGAATATTACTCAACCATAAAAAAGAATGAAATCTCACCATTTGCGACAGCATAGATAAATCTAGAAGGTATTATGCTCAGTGAAATAAGTCAGTCAGAGAAAGACAATTATCATATGATTTCACTTACACATGAAATTTAAAGGTGAAGAGATTTCAGAAGTACAAATTCATGGTTACAAAACAGCAGATATCTAAAATGCAGCAAAAGGAATATAGTAAAAAACACTGTAATGACTGTGTATGCTGCCATGGGAGGGCACGTTGTAAAATATATGATGAGCTAATCACTATCCTATACACCTGAAAGGAATACACAAAATAATATTGAATGTCAACTGTAACTGAAAAATAAAAGAAAAAATACTTTCTGATGAAATCAGTGATATTAACAAATGCAATCTTTTGCTACTGTATAATAAAGTACATGAATATTTAAAAAATCTGCATAATTCAGTGACCCAATATTTTCCAGACGACTAATACATCATGTCACAAAATTACACATGGGTAAAAAATTTCATTTGAATCTTGAAAGAGAAACCAATGGATTTTAATGTAAAACAACAAAAAGTTCATTCACAAGGTTTCAGATTACATTTTAACTAACCTTAAGAAACTCCACTTTTGTATTTAATACTTACAACTATCTAAAAAGGTGAATAGACTATTCCTCCTTTGCCTACTACATATGTGAGACTTCCCTTTCTTTATATACTTCAATCTGATAAGACAGTACAACAAATTAAATGCAGAAGCAGATATGAAAATATTTATTTCAATATTTCTTATTTTGGAAAAATAAGTAATTATTCATTTAAAAATACATTAACATAAGTTTATTTTTAATAAAGTAATAACTGTTTTTTTAATTTTTCATATAGTAAATACGATAGATGTGGTCTACATAAAAGCTCTCTGGGGTCCTCAATTATTTAAGAGTACAAAGGGTTCTGAGAGCAAAACTTTTGAGAACCACTGCTATAACCCAAATGAGTACTACAAAAGTAGAAATAAAGGACAGGTTTTTCATTCCAAAAGAAACAGAAATCTCTCTTTTTCTTTTTAAGATTTTATTGATTTTTAGAGAGAGAGGATTGGATCAAGAAAGAAAATGAGAGAAACATCATTTAGTTGCCTCTCGCACACACGCCCCATCCAAGGACCTGGCCGGCAACCCAGGTATGTGTGGGAACTGATGACCTTTTGGTTAGATGGATGACACCCAACCCGTAGGGTCACACAAGCCCGGGCAAGTAAGAAACAGAATTCTCTACATTAGAAAACACACTGACTTAGAGACTGAGTATGTTTTTCAGTTTTCTTCTTTGGGAAAAGGGAGAGAATTCAAGAAAAGGAAATATTTCACTGTACTCTGGAATAAAAGCTAAGTAGAGTATGATAGAAATTTGTGTAACAGATAAAATTAAATACAGAGTCTGAAGCTGGACTGGGAGGGGCTTGGCCTGTACTTTTGATCATAAACTGTAGTTTCTCCAACAGAAAAATGAGGATCCATTCATGAATTTGTGACTGAAGTACGTTTTTTAAAAAAATTTGCATTTCCTGTGTCAAGACTTCCATATAATCAGCATATTCTTTTTCTGTGCAAGTTTTGAGGATGGACTACAAGGTTTGGCTGTGGAACAAAACAGACTTTAACAATTGCCTGGTATATAAGGCTCTGAAAGCTTGATTCAAAAAGTGAACATACATCCAAAAACATACACATTCACATTTAACAGCATGGTCCCTGCTGTGTTAAGAAATACTCAAGTAATTATCCTTTCAGTTCAAACATATGACAAATTCATGCTGCTTCAAGTGTACTGCTATGTAAACAAGACTCCAAATAATTTTTAGTGTGTAATCTTCCTCTATCTTGTCTTTGCTGTCCACTCCTAGTTGTACTGCAGACAACATAATGACATATTTCTGGAATATACTGCAGTGCCTTCAGCTCTATTCTGCCTACACAAAAACAAAACAAATCCATAATAGGGGCCTCTGGGATTGGATGGCAAACGCCTCCGAAAGGCGGACTGGTTGTTCTATGAGTCAATCAAATTATTCTTGGCAGAAAGCCAAGTAAATAGAAAACAGGCTGAAAGACACTAGTCTACAATTCTATCACAGTACCTTTTTAGAAATGTTCTGTATTTGACTCATCTTTACATTCTCCTCTACGTCTGTGTCCCTCTGCTAAAAATAAATTATTCTACTATAAACAACGGGATTTTTAAAGTGATAGAAGTATTATCTTTTAAAATTTTTCATCTCAATTCATTCACTATACTCTGTATGATACAATATGTTGGGTAGAGACATTGGCTGCTTTAGAAAACATTTAAGGCTTAGGTAAACTACAGTTACACCAATTTTTAGATTTGAAGGTCTGTCTTTCCTTTTAGCACACCAGTAAATTCCCCTTATCTCTTGATACTTTGACAGGCTGTTACAACTTACAAGCAGGAACTGTTGAGAACTGACAGCATACTGGTAAGGCTAACTACCCCCAAAACGTGTACACTACTTTTTAAAAGCCCTGGCAAAATTTAATGTGGGGCCAGTCTAAGATGTAACAAGGCATTTCGTGCTTTTGTTTTTTCATAAGCAGCCTCAGCATAAAGAGCCTAAAAACATATTATGATCAACAAAACCGAATTCCTTCCTAGCCTTTAAGCCGCTGCCTAAATTAGCCTACAGTTGACTCCAACTACCAGCGACCTGGGGGTAATTTGGAGAGGTGACACCATGACAGGAGGCAACAGACAGGGACAAGTCGTTCATAAGCAAAATGATAACAGATTCTAAAGAAATACTCTTTAAGTTTTGCCATCTCTCGCTTCCAAAGAGTGGCCCAGGCAGCAACCTGTCTTGAGTTCATCTTTTGACCAAAATCTGGCGCTAGGTTTCAAACACATTTGTGCCGGCTGCCACCCAAGTGAAGTCGCGGAGAGAGAGGACGGCTTCCCATTGATCCTTGGAGGGTGGAAATACAGCGGGGAGCGGTTGCAGGGAGACAGCAATCCTCTTTCCCAAGGCCACTTTGTCCAGACCCCCACCCTGGAAAGTGCTATAAGACCAAGAGCCTTCATTTCCACCAATGTACACTTTGAAAGAGATCTCGGTGCTCGGGGCCCACCCGTGCTGGTGCCATAAGCCCTCAAGTGCCTGAAAAAGAGGCGGGCGACAATCAAGCCAGGGAACTTACCCAGTTTCTTCCACATGGCGAGATGACAGGCGAGGAAGCCCTTACGGATGGCAGCACAAACCTTCGCCGGCTCGGACGAAGTGAACCCCTTCTGTTTCTTGATGAAACCCCATAAATGCTCCCGGGCAAACTGTGCTGCCTCCCGCCCACCGTGCCCATCGCACACGGCAAAAAATGCCACCGAGGAACGGCGGCGGCAGCAGCCGGGAGCCGGCGAGGCCCCGGCGTCCGGAGGAGGGTCGCAAGCCTCTTGGGCTGCCACCGCTGGGCCTTTCCCCGAGACTTCACAGCCAGGAACAGCCGGCTGTGACGGCTGCGGAGGTGACTGCTGAGTGAGCGACAGCCGGGGCGAGGGCTTTTCTTCAGCGGTAGGCTCGGGCTCCACCACAATTTGAGTAACGTCCTCCATGTACTTCCTCCCGCCCTGGTCGGAGAAGACGCTCACTCCCAGCGAGTACAGCCCCGCCATGGCCGGCTGGCGGGAATCCCGCCGGGTCCCAGCAACCCGCCGACTCTGGCGGCGAGAGAAGCACTTGGCGATCGCCGGCCAACTATTGTTTATCTTCAACAACGCCGAAAGCGGGGAGGGGGCGGTCCCGAAGCAAGGGGAGTGAAGGGGGGCGCGCAGTTGGGATTTGCCCGCGAGCGCAGGGCCGGAGCGCTAGGGTCTGATGAGCCAAGCAGCTGCGCCTGCGCAATACGCTTCCCCCGTCTGCCCGCGTTCACCACACAGATCAGACGTTCTCCTTGCAGCCGTCATCGGCTTTCAGAGCCCGACCAATCCGGACTCGAGTTGCGGAGAATTGGGCCTCCACTCCTAATCCTTGCCCCTCCCTTCAACTGCCGCTCGCCCTACCCGCCCCCCCCCGGGGGGGGGGGCTGGACTACGCACAAGGCGGTTTGCTACGCACAAGTCGGTTTGCTTTCCGCTAGTAGTCGATATTTGCGCTCTCCGGTTTATCAGCACACCAACCACTTCTAAAGGCAACTTGGATCTGTCACCTTTTTGCTCAGTTCACCTGATTGTAATGCAGCCTCCTGGCCTCGGAGTTCGGCTGCTCGCCTTGTGGGGCGAGCCCTGTAGGCTCGGGCCTCCCACGAATCTAGGGAGAAAGACCTTCCATTCTTTAAGTGAAATGGCGGGAAATCTCACTTGGGAAGGTCGTTTGCCACTCTTGAACTGGATGTGGGTGGGTGTATCCGACTGGGAGTTGAGGGAGGCAATTTAGTTTGTGTTGCAGAGAAAACCTGGGCTGGTTTCACTATCAGCCACACAGTCTCATTTCGCATTACTGGGTATGTCGGTGATGGAGACATAAAAGGGTCTTATTTTAACGAATTGTTAACAGATCTTTTCAGCTTTTATTAAACATAGTACTTTTTTAACGAGTCCTGTGTACAGCGTTTTACTCCTTTGGCAGTATCACTTCAAGTTACTACTTGACAGTAACTTAAACTGCCAAGCGCTCCAGTGCTCTAACGGTTGGTTATGTCTCCCTCTCTTAGCCCAGGAGGTTATGATCTATGCGCTAAAATCTGCACAGATGTCCAAGGAATTAAAATAAGCCTCAGGGTGGACAGGTTAGTATATTCGCACCAGCAAATGTTCCTGTAGTGGTAAAATTCATTTTCTCAGTTTCGGCCCCTTTGCTACCAACTCTCCTCTGTACTCTGTACTGCTCAGCCTTCTAGATTTTCAAATGAAATTATACTAGCACAGAAATGGAAATGGGGAAAATGTACAAACAACTGACACAAGAAATACAAAAAGAAAAAATACTTGTACCAATAAAAATATATAAGCAAAACCAGATCAAAACGCAGAAAATGTTAATAGATCAATTAAATAAAAAATATAGTCAAAGATCTCTCCTACACCAACATGCACTAGACCAGATGGTTCCGTTGTAAAAATACTCGGGAAAAAATACCCAGCTTATTTTTATAAATATTTTTTATTGTTGTTCAAGTACAGATGTCTCCATTTCCTCCCACTAAGCTTGTTTTGAAAGATGATCATAACCTGTTATCAAAACCTAACAATTGTAACACTAGAAGGAAATCTTTAGACCATATTTTATAACTAGAAATGCGAAAATTCTAAATAAAATATTAGCAATTTTATCCAGTAGCCCCCATACCATAAAACCTGCCAGAGAGAGCAGTTGTGTAGCTCTATATTATTCACCTTAAGCAACTTACCCACCTTCCCACCCCACTCCCAGAGTTTACAGGAAGGTAATTTCATTATTACAACCCTTTTCACTCAATCACAACCGGTAGCCTAGGGTCATCCATTATTACCCCGATTAGCATATCCATGCCTCCCTCTACTTCTATTAATCTAATTGGTTAACCATCCTAACCATTTCAGTCTGCACTTTAGATTTCAACATCTGTTATCAGCCACTTCCCCTTTATTCTCATCTCTTTTCTAAATGTTCCCATCAACTTCCTCTTCCCACTGAAAACTGGTTACCACCTACCAAAACTACCCACCTTGCAACTCATCAAATACAGGAGCTCATTTTTCTCGCACAGGTATTCTTATCTTTGAACCTGCTCCTCATATTGCCTCCAAATCATTTCCTTCCTCCTTCAAAAATCCAAGCTCTTTTAAAGTTAATGGCAACTGCCACTACACCAACAGATTGTCACCTACTGATTCTCAGTAACACCCCCTTCATTTGTTCATGGCTCACTGGCTTCATTTGTTCCACTATTCTTGTCACTTCTTAGCACTTTTTTTTTTTAAGATTTTATTTACCGGTATTTTATTTTTAGAGAGGACGTAAGAGAGGAAGAACGAGAGGGAAAGAAACATCGATTGGTTGCTGCTCATAAGTGCCACAACTGGAGTCAGAACCAGCAACCCAGGCGTGTTCCCTGAGCAGGGATAGAAAGAAGGTGACCCATCCTTCTCAGTTCCTCATCCTTCTCTTCATGGGGAAGTTGCCTTGCTACATACTATTAGAAGCAGTCCCTTAGCCCTGGCTGGGTTGCTCCATTGGTTACAGCATCATCCAGATACACCAAGATTGTGGATTTAATCCCCCATCAGGGCACATACAAGAATCAACCAATGAATGAATAAATAAATGGAACAACAAATTGATGTTTCTTTCCCATTCTCTTTCTACCCCCTTCCCCTCTCTCTAAAATCAATTAATTTTTTAAAAGAATCCACTGAAAAAAAAAAAAGCAATCCCTCCATTTGTGTTCTGGATCCTTTCCCCTCTCTCCTTATGAGCCTTGCTCTACCATTTATCTTCTCTTGCTCCTGTTTCATCAATTCCTCCTTTTCTAGTGGGTCATTTCCATCGGTGTACAAACATATTCAAGTTTCTATTTTAACAACAAAATAAAACTACCTTAACCCTATACTACCCCCTTTCTCTGCTCCTCTTAACAGAAAAGTTTTGAGTTGACTCTATCTAGATCCTACTTCCAATTCTTACCTCCTAATTTCTACTTAATCCAATCCAATCAAGCAACCATCCCATCATGCCACTAAGACTGTTTTTCTGTCATAACCAGACCTTTCTGTTTCCAAAGCTAATGATGACTTCTTTGTTCTTACTTTTGTCCCAGCTGAAGCAAAAAGTGGAACCATTGTTTACTTCTTGAAATGTAATAGCAAGTTAACCATTGCTTCTTTCTTGAAACTCTTCTCTTGGTTTATGAGACCACAATACTGGTTTTCTTCCTCCTTCACTGACTAGTACCACCCCTTCTCATTTTCCTTTGTTGATTTCTCCCCTTCTACTCTTCAGATTTTTGGGAGTACCCAGGGCTTTGTCATGGGCTCTCTTCTCTACCCTACACACTCTCTTTAGGTAACACCATCCAGAAACATAGCTCTAAAACCTATCTGGGGATGGCTCCTAAATATAGATCTCTGATCCTAAACTTTGCCCTGAATCCCAGATTCTGTATGCAACTGCATAATTTGACAGGTTCCACAACAATGTCTGATGGACATTTCATCTTAACATGATCAAAACACACTCTAGATTTTGTAACAGTAGAACCAGCTCAAAATGTCCTATCCTGTTTAACAAGATGCTGAGTTACTTCTCAGAGATAACAGATCAAAAACACTTCTTGCAGCTGAAGCATGTACAGAGAACTTTGACCGCCAGCTGCACCTGGAACCAGTCTTGCCCCAACCCTTCTCCAACACACATGGAACCAAAAGACGGAGACTCCAGCAGAACATGAACACTCGGAACTCTTTCAGAAGCAAAGGATCCATTGTTCAGGAATATCCGGTGTTGACACCCCTTTACAATAAATGGCCAAGTTCCAAGGTCCCCCAATTAAAACTTGCCCCGCCAGCACTTCTGCATACCTGTTCTCCCTAAACCCTTAAAAACCCTTAACCTAGCCCATTGCCTTCACAGTCAGTAAACCTTTCCTTATTCCAAACCCTGATATTTTGAGTTTTTACCTCTCTATGCAATAGGTACACAAACTTGGTTTAGATAACAATTTCTTCTTCACATCTCCTCCTCCCTCAGTGTTACCCATATCAGTAAGATCACCATTCACCATGCTGTTCAAGTCAAAAAACAGCTTTTTTATTTCTCTTTCCTCCACTCTCCTCCCTTTCTCCATGAGACAATTTCCAATACCTCTAATTCATCAGCAAATCCCAACTAAATCTTCAAAATGAATACTGAACCCACCACTTCTGAATATCTCCACCACGATCATCCCAGTCCAAGTCATCATTACCTTTCACCCGAACCACTACATTAGCCTTTTCACGAGTCTACCTTCCTTCACTCTCAACCCTCTGCAATCTTTTCTGATGGCTACCATGTGCTCTTTCAAAACCATGAATCAGACTAAGTTATTTCCCTACTCAATATACTCTATGACTTTCCATCAAATTAAAAATTATATGCAAACTCTTTATGAAGGCCTCCATAATATATTTGATCACTAAATGTTTTTATAACATCATTTCCTGACAGTTTCCACGTTCCCTACTCCTTCGGGTCTCACTGACCTTCTTTCTGCTCCTTGAATAGGCCAAGCTATTAGAAGACTTAGGGGCTTTTTGCTTTAGGCATTATTGCCTCTTCTCAGACTCCTCCCCCTACCTCTAGCAGCTTTACAAGGGTGGATTGTATTTACTATCGGATCTGAGTTTAAATATTAAGGGACTTCCTAACCATCCAGTCTGAAGTAGCCATCCAATGTCTATCATGTAACCCCATTCTAATTCTGCAGTGGACTTGTCATTATCTGATTTTTTTTGTTTATTTATTTGTCTATTGATTTGTCTCTCTCAGAATATAGGCTCTGTGAGAACAGGGAATTTGTCTTATTTATCACTCTATCCCCTAAGCCTATGACAAAAGTTAAGTGAATTGATAAATTCATTCATTCATTAGCAGGAAATGTGTAAAACTGGTATGAAGAAAACTATGAAACTTTATTACAGAAAAAATAAATCCCTGAACAAGTACAGAAACATGCCACATTCCTGGAAACATAATTTGTCTCAAATTAATCTATAAATGTATTAAAATGGATAAGAATAACCAAGATATTATAGAAAAAGGACATTAAGATGGTTAGTTGCCCTGCAGATATAAGAGTATTTTATAAAGGTGGCAGAGAAATGGCCAAATGGATCAAGAGACTAGAACAGAGAGTCTAGAAAGGGATGTGTGT